GTCAAATATGACACTGACAAGCGGGAAGTTTCGCACCTGTTCTGGAGATTTCTAGAACTATCTGGGATACCTGGAGAAAACTATATAAGCGACGAGGAGAACCAGACAAGGGAAGTGAAGTGACAGCAGCGACGGAGTGCAGAAGAAGGTTAAACCCCGCGAGTCGGAAACGCGTGTTTTCCGTGTGTTATTGTTATTGTTTGTGAAGTTGACGTTAATTTAGAAGTTAGTTTGTTCCTGTTCCGTAGTTAAAGTTGTACCGAGTGGAATAAAAGTTGGAAGCAAAAGAAAGAGTTTAATACTTGGCCATCCACGGTACAATATATATATAATAAAAATAAAAGTCCATTGGAAACAGATTTAAATCCTAGAAGTGACGACTCTGAAAATGACAAATCTGATAATGACTTTGAAGAAATAGATTCTCTTGACACAAACAATTATAAATTACCTGTTCCTGAATTATTGGATAATTATAGAAATGTTATTTGTAAAGTAAAGAAAATTTGCAAATATTTCAGAAAATCCCCTGTCAAAAATAGCATTCTTTAGAATCACGTGAAACGGAAATACGAGAAGGAATATAATCTTATTCTTGATTGTAAGACAAGATGGAATAGTTTAGAGGCCATGTTAGAAATATTTGTACACCTAAACGAATGTGTTGTTTTAACTCTGACTGACCTGAATGCTTCTCATATATGGAATGAATGTATAGAAGCAATTCGAAGTAATAATTAACAAGAATATGACAAAGTTGTAAAACTCCGTAAAGTTTTACGTCCGATAAAATTGGCAGCCGAAGCTTTAGGTATACAAGACGCAAATTTATTAACAAGTGAAAGTATATTTGAATTTTTGTGCGGGTGCAGTACAAAATTTGAAATCCGAAACTGGACAGTAATTATTACAAGCTATAAAGGCACGGATTGAAGAAAGAAGAGATACAGTATGTGTTACACTTATCCTTTATTTACAAAATTCTCAAACTGTTTTAACGAAATCTTCTAATAAATTCCTTCCATTAGCAACCAAAAGTGACATTATTAAGTTATCCGGACAAATAAACTTGGGTGCATAGAAATCGGCCCACTGCTAGCTTTTGACTTTAACTATATTTTTTCTA